TATCACTTTATGTTATGGTGACAATAGCGAAAAAGAGGGAGTCGCATGCCACACCCACTGTAATTAATTAAATTTGACGAAACTTTTAGGAAATCTAAGTTTGACCCATATCTATAATCTCTGAAATTTCTGTGCAATTCTATCTAAGAAGAATTACGTGAGTTATTAAAGGGTTGCGTTTGGGCAGTTACTTCTGGGCCACCCTGTATATATACAACACAAATTGCATATATCAAAAATATGCATCTAAATATGCATCTAAATTTTGATTTTAAAATCAATAACAGACTCTGAATTTCTGTTATTGAAGATGGAAAAGGAATCGATAACAAAGTTTGAGATCCGGCTTCACAACCGGAACCCTCTGCCAGTATACTCTCCCGGACAGACCATAGCAGGAGAGGTGTTTCTCAAATTAGCAGCTGAGCTTGACTTCCGTGCGATTACCTTGGAAATGCATGGTGACGCCAATGTAAGTGTAATTACATAATCTGAGTTATATTATATTATTATTATATCGGGTCTCAATAAGATTTTTATTATTATTAAATCTAAAATAGCAAATAATTTACTAAATTATTAACAGGCCCCTTAACGTGGGCAATAATATATGCTTTATAAATTATATAAACAAATTGAAGTCTATTTTTCCAATGTTGTTAAGTGTCTCTTTAGATCTGTTTTGGTCTTTCGTGGGGGTTCCCACATTTGTTGGTTGAGAATGCTCAACATAACATACATGATGCTTGACTGCTTTATTGACCCGGACAGGTACCGGGGGCAGACATCCCAACACCAGTGCGTTGGGACATAGTGTTGGTCTGCTTCAGGACGTGTTAGATCCTAGAGAAGCCGCCATCCCCTCTACTGCTTTAGCTCAGCGGCAGCATGAGCCCTGGTTATCTGCCACATTGGTACCTCTGAAAGTACAGAAAAGTGGTGGATTTCGGGGTCCAGGATCCCCCTCTTTATTCTTTACGGTGGTATTATTTCTCTGAGATGTTTGCAGAGTCATTATTTTATGATCTTTTAGTTGGATAAATCCTTGAGAGCATCATTTTGTACCCAAAGGAATTCGACTCTTCTAATGAATACTTTTTGTGTGCTGATTTTTGTTAACACTTCATCTAGATAGTAATGTGAGTCAGCCCCACCCAGCTCTTCTATTCTTTTAGTTGCAGGTAACTGGTGTCTTGCACCTCCAGACACAATAGGAGCTGGTGTACAGGAGAATCATTGAAGCTGTTGCAGAAACGACAGGCCTCACCACTGCCACCACCCATGACCTTTTGGATATTCGCAAAGAGTGGCGAGCTGCCGTGAATGTAGTCCATTATTTGGCTGTCTAGATTTTTACTCATATTGTGCCCGAATAAGAAGTTGTTTTTGTCTAGGAGCAGCCCACTGTTTTTGATCTTTGTGATCGCACCGAGTATCTTGGTCTCCTTGTTCTTACTGACAGTTCTGCATTGCAGATTTGTTTCGATGCTGTCAATCCAGATCTTATTTTTGTAGCTCATTATGTCTGCCTGAGTGTAATAGGCCAGATCCTTGAAATGTTGCTGCGTTAGGTCTATCATTCTGGTTCCGTGTGACTTATTTTCTTTCCAAAGGAAGTACTTTTTCAGTGACATTGTTAAGACCTCTCAATAAGAGGTCTCGACCGCCTAGGCATCAAACCTTGGCAATCGGTAATTTTCATCTGGCCTGGAGTCAGCTGACCCTAGAGACCAGAGGATAAAGGCGTAGACACTGTGTGTATCTACAAAAGTGGTTGTTTTTACAAGAGACAGGGCTTGCCCGGCGTGCTGTATATATGGTTGAAATTGAAATTTGAATTTATTTATGAATATAACATTATGTATTGATTGTTTTTGCAATGCAAGGGAAGAAAAACGGGAGAAACGATCACCAAGTGTATATTATATAACTTAGCAAATAGAGATTCAAACAACCCTTCACTACAAAAAAATGTTTATTACATAAGTATGATTTGTTGTATACAGTATAAACAAGAAACAGGGCTTAGAGGGCAAGAGATGGGACTCACTACAACTCGCTAGAGTCACAGAATGTATAATACAGTAATTCAGCAAACACCTATTACTGAAATCTGACACACAAATTACCACAATCAATACAAGAATATTGATACAAAATACTAAACACAATATTTATACTAGAAAGAGGGCTTGCAAATCAAGGGAAGAAAGCAAGAGAAACAACTGCAACAATGTATTATTATTATTATTATATCCTAGATCTGGAGCGGGATTATTTAAAACATATAATTGATACGAAAAGTAAGTTTAGCAGGAGCTATCAAACTAAATGTGTAAATCGTCTATATGCGGACAGTCACGTGCTCGTGATCGGGAGTGTACCAATGATAGGGGACTTTGCTGGGTCATGGGTTATTTAACTCAGGGTATCTTCCGTAGGTTGCTTGGACAGAGCAGAGTGGAGGAGAGAGAAACCACACAATTCACTATAAAAACTCTGAGACCTACCTTAACATAGAACTGTATCTTATCGGGGACGGCAGGGAGGAGAGCAAGCTTCCGGCTGGACGTCACAACTTGCCCTTCTCTATAACTCTTCCCACGAACATACCCGCCACTTTCACTGGAAAGCATGGTAAGTGGGTGATTTGCTTCGTGACCTGGGGTTATACATATTTACTGCAATTAGAGTTATCTATTATTATCATGATAATTAGTCATAATCAGTGGAGATATCTGGCATTATGATGGACAGTCGTTATCATTATGGTTACTGTCCACACAATTGATACCGTTTTACATACTACTTTGATATGTATAATTGTTGCAGCTGACTATATCATTCACCTGCAAATCTCCCTTTAATTTTAATTTATAACTTCTAAACATATCATAAATACAGGCTACAGCAATAATGAATAAATATTTGATAAGCTATTTTAGGAGTCTTAACTTGTAATTGTTGTGCTCTTTAAAGATCCATATCTCGTAAATAATATCGATGAAATCATCTTGTAATCAAACTGTTACTAATGTTATATTAAGTAGTATGGATACAGGCAGATGATCTTCATGATATGCAAATTCAAAAAATTGCAACAATTGCTATTAATATTAGCTGTCCACTTCTCCTTGCGTATTTCCTCGCGTTGTGTTCGGTCAGTTTCTTTCTCTATCTCTTCTTGTCTTTGACAAAGTAGTCCTTCAGAGCAATCAGTTCTGGGTCTCTACTCTTCACCACATAAGTAGTGAGTGCATTCTCCTCTCTCTTTACGACTTCCTCTATACTATGAAGCCCACGGCTCCAATAATATCTCAATATTATAGCTTAAATTTGCATCGAGTCTAAATTTGCATCAAGTCTAAATCCAAAGTCTAAATTGAACAATTGACATAATGATGATTTATCATTGCATATCGTTTGTGATTTTGAGATTTAACTTGAAACTCGATTACACACAGCGACACAGATTGAAACTTACAACACATACCCACAGGGAGGGTCCAGTATGACTTGACTGTTAAAATTAGAAGAAAAAAGAAACCTCTGTACATTTTTCTTGATGTCACAGTTGTGTCAACAATCGACCTCAACCAGGATATGTACGGTGAGTTTTCTTTTTTTTAAACACATTTTACATTAATGTATTACAATTACATTTACACTTGAAGACCAAAATATATCTACAATGATTGATTGAAATAAATTTTCGTGCACATACAGAATGAATGGTTAATAATTTAATATATATGTAGACCAAGCTCTGTGCACGGGATGCTTCCTGGAAGAATCCAGTTCTTTTAGCAATGAGGCAACAATATGATTTATTGATATAAAGAAGGCTAGAAAAACATTCATGAATCTCGACACTACCAGACTGCAGCTGGAGTGAGAAAAATGTACATAATTATAAAACATAAATTAAAAAATCTATTTCAGCTAAATAAAAATACGACGGTTAAACCATTTAAAGATATTAGTGCCGACCCTACATAAAATACAGAATTGAAATTAAACATAAAATGTTCGTATCTCAAAACAACAAATGTTCTTATAGATCAATAAGAAGTGATCAGTGATTAAGGGGGCCTCTAACTGATCCTAAGAACATATCCTGAAATTTTGAGGGTGATTGCTCAAAAATTGTAGGAGAAGATAGGTTTTTAGACTCGATTTTAAGAATGCGCGATAGAAAAACGTTCGCGCAATACAATTACACATAAGCGCTGACCTTTGACCCAGGTTATATTGAATTTAGTAAAATAAGCCATCACGGATCGGGAAATTGAGCGGCCATCCACAAAAGAAAACCGGTGCATTTCTTGTTAGTAAAACAAAATTTTATTTTATACCCACAATCAATTCATAGTTAGTTCAAATATGACGAAAAAGTTCAAATTGTGTAGGAGACTAGGAGGGTAACTTGGACACTTATATTGCTAGTAATGCTTGCGCTTCTTTGTGCCGTAACAGTTGCTCTCTTATCAGTAAAATCGTTTAAAACAACTAGTTCCTTGGACAACTATCTAGACATTAGGTGCAGCGATTTTTTTATTTGACTCGTTTCTCGAATTATGAGGTTAACCAACTAAATTTGTCGAATTTTTGACATGGTTAACCTCATAATTCGAGAACCGATTCAAATAAAAAAAATCGCTGCACCATAAATAAGGATAATTGTCCAAGGAACCACTGTACCAAACCTCAAGATCAGGGAGTGGCCGGTTTTCTCAACTAAGGAATCGAAATATCGAAATATTAAATTTGTATTCTGGTAAGTACTAAGTATACGACAATACCGAGACAAAACATTCAAAGTGGGGAAGCCCTACTCCAATATTCTTCAGACAGTGATTGCAAATTCCCTTTTGAACACGATTAACCATACCTGTTAACCGTTCCGTCCCCTCCGTGCAGGCGGGCCACTAGCCACGTTGCTGTATAGCCGTCCATTGACTTTGCCGATGTGTTTTCTTCTGTCTTCTCCGCCATTTAACCTCAAATTATTTGTTATATATCAGCGCTGAAAGGATGTAATTAATGGTGTCTCATCGTATAATGAAATAAACAATAGCTTTGACTATTTCTACACTCCAGCTCTGTGAAAACAATAAAGTGTTCTGGAGTCTTTGCTAGGATAGCGGGTCCCCTGTGTATACGTGCATTTCTGACCAAACCAAGTAATTCACGAAGTTCTTATTCATTTTCATTAAAAGAAGTATATAACTGTATGCCTCTCTTACTTGCAACACTACCTTGGACAACTATCTAGACATTAGGTGCAGCGATTTTTTTATTTGACTCGTTTCTCGAATTATGAGGTTAACCAACTAAATTTGTCGAATTTTTGACATGGTTAACCTCATAATTCGAGAACCGATTCAAATAAAAAAAATCGCTGCACCATAAATAAGGATAATTGTCCAAGGAACCACTGTACCAAACCTCAAGATCAGGGAGTGGCCGGTTTTCTCAACTAAGGAATCGAAAGGTCAAAAAAGTTACAGCCGTTTAAAGATCCAGTTTAACATATAATTACAGGTAAACCTCAAAATTTAGCGCGCGATATCTCAGGAACGCAAGGTCAGATTTTGATCCGGTTTTTTTCTTCTTGTTCGTCTCCAGCAGCTATTATCAAATATTATATGAAAACTAGAAAAGTGCCATTTACCCTCCCCCCTCTGGCCTTAACAAGTTCTGAGATTTCTGCAAAATTTGACACGCTCATACACCACATTTACTCGACAAAGCTCATAATATATCTTAAAACATAACTGCTGATCGACCAAATTATTTCAGGTGCAGCACATCCGAAGACCATTAGTGGGAGTAAAAAGTTTGGATATCTCTGCTGTACTACTGGTCCACTCAGCGCTTCACTCTCCTTCCCCAAGCTGGGGTTCGTGTGTGGGGAGAGCATTTCCTTTTCCGCTAGTATAGAGAATCTTAGCAACAAGGTCATGACCAAATCAAAGATAAAGCTGATTGAGAGCAATATTTTCACATCATCATGTGGTAAGAAGCAGACCGTAAACAAGACAATATTGACCCGCACGAGGGGAAGGATTGCACCGGGTACCAGTTTCACGTGGAGTAATGTCGGGCTCCTCCTACCACCCCTCCCGCCCTCCCGCCTCATCAACTGTAACATCATAGATATAATGTACACTGTGGTGCTCAGTGTGCATCCCTTATGGTTTGGGTATGATCTGAACGTTCCGTTGAACATCACCATCGGTACAATCCCACTTCGTCAACAAGAACAGGTGCAACACATCAACCTCCAATACCAGCCGGACGCAAACGCACCGCCTCCAGCCATAGGTGCACCACCGCCAGACATTAGTTCACCGCCTCCAGATTTTAGTGCACCGCCTCCAGACATTAATGCACCACCACCAGACATTAGTGCACCGCCTCCAGACATTAATGCACCACCACCAGACATTAGTGCACCACCACCAGACATTAGTGCACCACCACCAGACATTAGTGCACCACCACCAGACATTAGTGCACCACCACTACCCAGCTATGAAGAAGTGATGCACGGTTGGGCGGCGATGTAAGGGACTGAGGGAGAAGGGAATGAGGTCCAGGGAGGTGGGACTTATGCTCCTAGTTATCCGACTTATGCATTTAATAATAGCTAATTACTTCAACACAGTATACTCTTTATGTTAGTCACTAACTGATCACTAACTTAGATAATAATAAAGTCACTGTCAGGTTCCACACTAAGTTATAATTAACACAATAATAAGACACTAGTCAGCTATGTAAATAATCATCACTGTAGCTGTTGTAGTGACAATAATTATAATATTATTTATATATAACTATTTTTGTAAATTGGTCATTAGAACTACCGGCATGGTCCGGAATAAATATCTGTTTTTTTTTCTTATACTGTTTGATGATGTTTTGAAGAAAGTTTAAAAATTGCGAAAGAAAATGTACCGCATGTAATTGTACACTGTAGCGTTTTTAAACAACTTTTTAGTGTATGATAAGTGGTTGATGAGTATAACTGTTTGTTTTATTTGAAATGTTGAATGAAGTTTTTTAAAGTTTTTGGTTTAAAAAAAAGAATAAACGATAAAGGTTACATCATAATTTTTAATTCTCATTCTCACTTATATTGAATAAAATTATATTGTTATGTATCTTATGATTTTGTAAACATTAGCTGGTGAACCAAAAACCGGTCCCCAAACAAACAAAATGGTGAAATTTTACAATTTGGAAACTTGATTCACCATGAAAATCATTCACAATTTTTTACCATTTGAATGTTCTAATTTTGAATTTATATCAAATCGAAATATTAAATTTGTATTCTGGTAAGTACTAAGTATACGACAATACCGAGACAAAACATTCAAAGTGGGGAAGCCCTACTCCAATATTCTTCAGACAGTGATTGCAAATTTCCTTTTGAACACGATTAACCATACCTGTTAACCAGTTATTTAGAATATATATTCGCATGTATCCACACTATATTTACATTACACGTTCAACGTGATATCGTTATCAGTGCAGTGTGTACAACACCAACTACACCGATCAATTGCCAATCTGCGAAACATTTAATTATTATTATCACTTCGAGATGGCCAGGCCTACTCTCATGCTGTCTATATGTGATGATTAACTCTGAAAAACTAGGGACAACTGGGGAATGATCCCAGAACCTCGAGATTTCGCGTCTCTTGCTCTACCAATTGAGCTACTGACCCTGATTCTCAGAGCGAAATCACCACTCATATACAGCACAATTTCATGCTTTGTGTGGAATATCATTTATCAGTTATTTAGAATATATACATGCGAATATATATTCTAAATAACTGATAAATGATATTCCACACAAAGCATGAAATTGTGCTGTATATGAGTGGTGATTTCGCTCTGAGAATCAGGGTCAGTAGCTCAATTGGTAGAGCAAGAGACGCGAAATCTCGAGGTTCTGGGATCATTCCCCAGTTGTCCCTAGTTTTTCAGAGTTAATCATCACATATAGACAGCATGAGAGTAGGCCTGGCCATCTCGAAGTGATAATAATAATACCTGTTAACCGTTCCGTCCCCTCCGTGCAGGCGGGCCACTAGCCACGTTGCTGTATAGCCGTCCATTGACTTTGCCGATGTGTTTTCTTCTGTCTTCTCCGCCTCAAATTATTTGTTATGTATCAGCGCTGAAAGGATGTAATTAATGGTGTCTCATCGTATAATGAAATAAACAATAGCTTGTAAGATTATATCCAAAGTTTGTTCGCCAATGGGGGTGTGTCTGGGTGTCAAAGATCTTCAAGGTGGGTGCTACTTGTGATGAACTCTAGAAGGATGGGATGGTAATACTCGATCTGGCCGTCTGGAAGCCCATAGAATTCCAGTTCAGAAACCGAGTAAGGAGGTGCGGCTACTGATGAGAAGCCTCCTTAAAGTTTATTTGGGTTAGAATCGACATCTGGGTCCCTACCCTTGCACAAGATTATTCTCAATTTTCTTGTTGTGTTCATAATTCTGACGTTATGTTAAAGTGGGTATCTATGTAATTTTCGTAATAATTTAATGGTTGCCTTCATGCCCACAGTTCAATGTTTCAACCCACCAATTTACCATACCTTATAATCATTAACTTATAACTTATTATTTATATACATACTATAGTATGTTTTGATTTTTAGTCCTTAGAAGGGCACTCCATTAACAGTTTTGGACTGATTTGAATGTCCTGCACAGCAGATCGAAGCATCTCTAAATTTTTTTACTATCTTTATTATATTGCTGTGTAAATTTGATTCTAATTCTAATTCTAATAAGTCTCCAAAATCCCTCTTTTTCTGCAAAAATGACCATTCTTAACCTTTCACTAGTACTGTCTTTTTACAAAAGAGTGTGAATGGAAAAAATCAAGAGATATTTACTCCATTTCTCTTGGCAACACACGGATTTTTATGCAAATATTTTACTTCTTTCTTCTTCTTCTTCTTGATATAATTTACACCCTCTGTCTTCCCATAGAGAAGATGTTGGACACATTCTCAGGAGTATGGAGAACATCCCAGCCCAAACGGCTCTCTCTTTTGCTATTGAATCAGATAAATTATTCATTGGAAGATTGGGGAGACCTAGAATGAACTTGTTATCGGTTTTAAGAAGTGACATAAGTAGTAGAAATTTGCGAATGGACAATTTGCAGGAATTGAACGAAATTAGAGATATAGCTGCATGCAACAGATGTTGGGAAAATCTTTTTCAAGGATATAGTTTATACCGCATTATTAGGTATTTTTAAGAATCATTTTTGTCGGTAAGATCCTGTTTTATAATAATAATATTTTCCCATAACTGACACTTATATGTCTACTAAAACATTAGTCTTCTTAAATTTTTCTAGTAGATTAATTTTAAAATCAATAACAGACTCTGAATTTCTGTTATTGAAGATGGGAAGGTTACATAGAAAGATGAAGAAGTATTCGATAACAAAGTTTGAGATCAGGCTTCACAACCGGAACCCTCTGCCAGTATACTCTCCCGGACAGACCATAGCAGGGCAGGTGTTTCTCGAATTAGCAGCTGAGCTTGACTTCCGTGCCATTACCTTGGAAATGCATGGTGACGCCAATGTAAGTGTAATTACATAATCTGAGTTATATTATATTGTTTTTATTGTATCGGGTCTCAATAAGAGGTCTCGACTGCATAGGCATCAAACCTTGGTAATAGGTAATTTTAAGATTTATTAATTAATAAGAAAAGTTAGTTTAGCAGGAGCTATCAAAATACATGTGTAAATCGTCTATATGCGCACAGTAACGTGCTCGTGATCGGGAGTGGACCAATGATAGGGGACTTTGCTGGGTCAGGGGTCCCCATTTTACTTCCTTCTTGTACACTGTATAGTCAATTATAATAGTGATCATCCAGTGAAGCGAGTGATTGGCTTGCTTACTTGTTGCTACTATGTGAAGATTGATATGGTCCCTAGTCTAGTCTCCAA